AAAATGAGCATCTCAGGGACCTACTGCACTGTGCAAAGGCCCAAGGAATCACTGTTAGGTAATATAATAATGGTAACGTGTTTTGAGAGCCTACTATGTTTTAGAGTCTGTACTAGAGCTTTAAATGTATCATCCCTAATCCTCACCAAAACCTCACCTATTGGCCACATTTAACAGATAAGGATATGGAAGCTCAAAAAAGTAAATAAATTAGCCAAGATTTTTTCCTTCCCAACAAGCCTAGTAGGAGATCTACTCAGTTAGCAATTGAGCTCTGCTACTTCACACTTTCCTAAACCCCACTTTGAGATGCCCAATCTATCTCTTGCTTTATTTCTCTCATTTGCCATGGTAAGTACGTGCTGGCTGGTTTGCTCAGCTGGAGCACACTGATTAATAAAGCCTGAGTACATCAGGGCAATCTCCTTCATGTCACCCTGATCCAATTCAATTCAATCTCTATTAATGAGTACTTTATGCTGTATTAGGCACACTGCTAGAAACTTGGGAGGCAAAGCTGTTCCCCATTCAAATTTGTCCTGCTCTCACTCCAGCCGGCTAGATGGCAGAGTGTGGAGAACTCTCAGCAAATTCATTTATCACCACTGGTAAAAACAACTCAGAATACAAAATCTTTATAAAGGGAGGTCCTCACATCATCATCATCATCATCATGTTTCCTGACCTACTCAGTCAAATACTACCTCTCTATAACTGCTGTTCCTGCCTACTCTGTCCTCTTCCTGTTGCCCTGGTCTTGCTGTCAGCCAGTTTGTCATCCTTTATGCTCTCACTGGCACAGCCACCACACTTCCAAACCCCAATCCTCATCTTCCCTTACACTGAGGAAAATGGAACCAGAGACTGTGACTCATACAGAATGTGAGGGAAAAGTATGTTTTGTGTGTATGTCTGTATATACTAGGAGGACAGTACAATTTTGTGGGATTATAACTAGGGCACAGAAAAGGCAGGGCTGGGAGCTGCCAAAGCCTTACATAAGGACAGTTTCACAGTGCCTGACTGTTGAAGGAGAGTCCAGTATTGTACATGACATGTAAATATTACTCATCTACAACTACAACATGAATTCGAAGTGCAAGTAGAGTACTCCAGAGGCACTCTCCATCCAGAGACATTTAAAATGAATTTTCTTTTTGATACACTCTAAGGTTTTTAAAGCTGCTAGTTTCTAAGTACTTATAAAAACAATGAATTAATAAAGAGTGAGAATCGAATTCATTGTGCTTACCTGTGTATCCTTTAGGAAGTAATTCACGGATAGCTTACCCTCAAATTTTAACTTCACTCTCTTAGGCTAAACAATAACATTTTGAACCTTCCTTCACCCCACCAGATTGCTGGTTTTAGAAATAACCTTTATGTGATCTTACAGCTAAGTAAAATAGCCCAGAATCCTATGTATTTTTCTTGGACTTATTTGAAATTATTGAAGACCTTCAGTAAGCTGTTAAATGTTGCAAAGGTCTGAAAAGGAAAAAACTGAAAACCAGAAAGAATATATTCTGAATCTCAAGTTAGGAAAAATAAAGAACAATACATTCTTCTACCATCCTTAAACACCCATAACATTAGTATTATTTTCTGGACAAGATAATGGACACAGCATTAAGATTTAATTTCAAAATTAACACTGAAAGATCAAGCTAGCAAAGACTTTTATGATATATTATTTCTGCCTTTTGGCTGGAACTGCCATCTTCCAGTAATTCACCAAAATGATGAACACAAAGGGAAAGAGAAAAGGCACCAACAGATGTTCTCCAGGCCTTTTAGAACACATGGAGTTGTTCCTTTGGCCACATACATGGAAACCTACAAGAAAGGTGATATTGTAGCCGGGCGCAGTGGCTCACACCTGTAATCCCAGTACTTTGGGAGGCCGACAGGGGTAGATCACGAGGTCAGGAGATCAAGACCATCCTGGCCAACAAAGTGAAGTCCCAGCTCTACTAAAAATACAAAAATTAGCTGGGCATAGTGGCACATGCCTGTAATCCCAGCTACTCAGCAGGCTGAGGCAGGAGAATTGCTTGAAACAGGGAGTCAGAGGTTGCAGTGAGCCAAGATTGTACCACTGCACTCCAGCCTGGTGACAGAGCGAGACTGCGTCTCAAAGAAAAAAAAAAAAAAAAGAAGGGTGATATTGTAGACATCAATGGAATGGGCACTGTTTAATAAGGAATGGCCTACACAGATCACCTGAAGTGAGGAGTTCCAGACCAGCCTGGCCAACATGATGAAACCCCGTCTCTGCTAAAACATGCAAAAAGTTGGCCAGGTGCAATGGCTCACGCCTGTAATCTCAGCACTTTGGGAGGCCAAGGTGGGTGGATCACTTGAGGCCACAAGTTCAAGACCAGCCTGGCCAACATGGCAAAACCCTGTCTCTAATAAAAATACAAAAATTAATCAGTTGTGGTGGCATGCACCTGTAATCCCAGCTACTGAGGAGGCTGAGGCAGGAGAATCACTTGAACCCTGGAGGCAGAGTTTACAGTGAGCCAAGATTGCACTACTGCATCAAGCCTGGGCAACAGAGCAAGACCCTGTCTCAAAAAAAAAATTAGCCGGGCATGGTGGCCCATGCCTGTAGTCACACCTACTAGCGAGGCTAGGGCAGGAGAATAGCTTGAACCCAGGAGGCAGAGATTGCAGTGAGCTAAGATCATGCCACTGCACTCCAGCCTGGGAACAGAGACTCCATCTCAAAAAAAAAAAAAAAAAAAAAAAGGAATGCCCTACAAATCTTACTATGGCAAAACTGGAAGAGTCTACAATGTTACCCAGCATTCTGTTGGCACTGTTGTAAACAAAAAAAGAAAAGATTCTTGCCAAGAGAATTAATGTGTGTATTGAGCATATTAAGTACTCTTAAGAGCTGACAGCTTCCAGAAACATGTGAAGGAAAATGATCAGAAAAAGAAGCCAGTGAGACCCTCATCTCTGCAAAAAATTAGCTGGGCGTGGATGTGAATTCCTGTAGTCCCAGTCACTTGGGAGGCTGAGGTGGAGGACTGCTTTGAGCCCAGGAGTTCAAGGCTGCAGTGAGCTGTGATCACAGCAACGCACTCCAGCCTGGGCAACAGTGCAAAACCCTATCTCAAAAAAAAAAAAGTAAACTAAAAAAGAAAGGTACCTGAGTTCAATTGAAGCACCAGTCTGCTCCACCAGTGAAAAAGAGCCTGAGCTACTGGAACTTATTCCCTATGAATTCATGGCATAATAGGGGTAAAAAAGACGAAAGGTATAAAAACATTTCTCTTCATTGAGTAGAAGTGTGATGTCCTGGCCGGGTGCGGTGGCTTATACCTGTATTCCTGGCACTTCGGGAGGCCAAGGTGGGTGGATCACATGAGGTCCCTCAGGAGTTTGAGACCAGCCTTACCAACATGGTGAAACCCTGTCTCTACTAAAAATAAAAATTTAGCTGGGTGTGGTGGCACACGCCTGCAGTCCCAGCTACTCAGGAGGCTGAGGCAGGAGATTTGCTTGAACTCAGGAGGCGGAGGATGCAGTGAGCCGAGAGCGTGTCACTGCACTCCAGCCTGGGCCACAGAGCGAGACTCCGTCTCAAAAAAAAAGAAGTGTGATGTCCCCTCCCCAAAGAAATACTCAAAGCAAAAAAAAAAAAAAATTACTTGCTGATTTTTCTGGAAAACTTTCAGAACGCTCCCCTTCTGTCTTGGAAATACCACTTCCCCAATATCATACCCCACGAATGTTACTATGGCAAAACTGGAAGAGTCTACAATGTTATCCCGCATTCTGTTGGCACTGTTGTAAACGAACAAGGGCAAGATTCTTGTCAAGGGAATTAATGTGTGTACTGAGCATACTAAGCACTGTAAGAGCCGATAGCTTCCTGAAACGTGCCCCACTTCTGTCTTGGAAATACCACTTCCTATTAAGTGGGATTTACTACTTCACAAGCAATCCGTTCCTCTAGGTGAGTCCCAATTCCAGAGTACTGCACTGGGTTTTCCCTTCCATCTGTCACTTCCTCACAGCCTTCTACATGAAGAGGAAGAGAAAACAAGAAAGAATAAAACAAGGAACACAGAGAAGTTGGAAATTTTTTGAATCTCTCTGAGGATATGTGAAACACAAACTGCAGCAGCAGCAAAAAAAGACACCCAAAGGACAAGCTATCATAAAGAGTATGCCAGAGACTGTGAAACAGAAGACGCTGAGAAGCACAAAGGATGGCTTTTACTTTAAAAACTGGCAGATTTTAGAAGTCTGATTCCTTAAAATAAGAAAGTCCAATTCCAAAGCAACCTGAAACATCAATAAGCAAATCCCTGAGCATCCCTATCTTCAGGAAATAAAACTGAACAACACTAATGTGGGTAGAGGTAAAGACAGAAAGGCGGCCAGGCGCGGTGGCTCACGCCTGTAATCCCAGCACTTTGGGAGGCCAAGGCGAGCGGATCACCTGAGGTTGGGAGTTCGAGACCAGCCCGACCAACATGAAGAAACTCTCTCTCTACTAAAAATACAAAATTAGCCGGGTGTGGTGGTGCATGCCTGTAATCCCAGCTACTCGGGAGGCTGAGGCAGGAGAATCATTTGAACCCGGGAGGCAGGAGAAAAGCTTGAGCTCCGGAGGCGGAGGTTGTGGTGGGCCGAGATCGCGCCATTTCACTCCAGCCTGGGCAACCAGAGCAAAACTCCGTCTCAATAAATAAAGACAGAAAGGCTATACATAAACTATTTGGATTAACCAATAATGAACGTTATCTATTATCTTACAATCATAAAGTAAGTGATTTGGACAGGGAAACTGGATGGTGATGGGATACTAAGGTTAACAAAAGAAAAATCACTATTTTTTAGAGAAGGCTTTCTAGACGAGGTTAAACTCCAGACTGGCCAAATAGCAACAGGAGTTTAGCAGTGTTCCAACCAACCGCAGGAAAATAGCTCAGAGGGGGAGTGAACTGATTATATGAATGGTGCATTGAGTAAGGGAGCCTGAGAGAAGAAAGGGGAATCGTCAAGGGGAATAAGACTGGTTCAGAGTGCACTAAAGTCTCCAAACTGGAGAGAAGGTAGGAGGCAGCAAAAGAGTGCAAGAAGAAAAAGTACAGTCGTTTCTTCACTTATCTCGACAGGCAAGTTAAGGACTAGGGGTTGCACTACCTGGAAAGCTAGCAAACAGGGTTGCCCTGGGAGTGAAAATTTTCCAGAGAGGGCCCTTCCTGGAAAAAAGCAGCCCCGGTGTTCCCTCATTTCCTGGCTGGGTACCATCGGGCAGTGACTGGAGAGGCGCAGGTATGTTTTAGGCAGGTGTCTCTTGGGTGTTGGCGTGGACTACATAGCAGAGGTTCAGCCGCGGGACTAGCATTGAGCGACAAGCAGGCGGCGGCGCGTGCAAACCACAAGACTTACCTTACTGTCATCCATCTCGGCAGACAGGCTGGCCTGACCGGGCACTCCCTCCCGGAGCCCTCCCCCGGCTCAGCCGGCCTGGCCCGGCCCCCGCCCCGAGGAAGAAGGGGATATGGTTCTGGCTGCCTCCTCCTCTCGCCTAACAGTTCGCTTCCCTGATGCCACAGTCACGGGGACTAGGGCCCAGTTCAGGAATGGCAGAGCGGACCCTGGAGGCGGCCCCAAACGCCTCCCTTCGCCGCCGCCGCCTCCTCCTCCCCCTCCATGACAGTCTCTGGGTGTTTACAGACGCTCTGGAGAGCCGCCGAGACCGGAGAGTGGGCGGGAGCGCCACACGCGGAATGGCCCCTTCGGCTGCCGTAGCACCGCGGCATTCTGGGAATTGTGGTTTTTCTTATCACAGTCTCTGCGCTGCTGACTGGAAAAAAAACTACAATGTCCACATAGCCTCAGTCATGGGCAGCTGTTTTCCTTTTGCCTACTAGCTAACGCTGAGGAGGCGGGGCCGGGCTGGAGGCCCAAAGTGCGCCTGACCTGATGTTTTGGCTCCTTAGTGCCAGGGCCTGGAATGGCAGGGAGGGGAGTTTGGAGCTCTGCGGAGGCAGCCCAGAAGGTGGGGTGCCGGAAGCAGGCCCTCCTCTGGGACGCTGAGGAAACCGTAAAGATTCTTTATTTTAAAAAAACGAAAAAGAAAAACTAAGAATGTAAAATAGTGTAGCTACTTTGGGAAGAAATTTGGCAGTTCCTCAGAATATTGGCCACGCCCATACCCAAGGGAAATTAAAACGAATGACTACACAAAAACTTCTACATAAATGTTCTTTCCTAGCAGCATTATTCATAATAGTCAAAAAGTGGAAACAATGTAGATGTCTATTACTGAATGAATGGATAAACCAGTGTGGACTATACAAATAAAGAAATACTGGCCCAGGGGCGGTGGGTCACGCCTGTAATCCCAGCACTTTGGGAGGCCAAGGCGGGAGGATTGCTTTAACCCAAGAGTTCGAGACCAGCCTGGGCAACATAGCAAAACCTGTCTCTACCAAAAAATACAAACATTAGTCGGATGTGGTAGCACATGCCTGTAATCCCAGTTACTGGGAAGACTGAAATGAGAGAATAACTTGGGCCTGGGAGGCAGAGGCTGCAATGAGCGGAGATTGTGCCACTGCACTCCAGCCTGGGCGATACAACCAGACACAGACAAAAAAAAAAAGAAAAGAAGAAGAAGAAAGAAGGAAGAAGAATGAAGAAAGAAGGAAGAAGAACAAAGGAGGAGAAGGAAGAAGGAGAAGGAGAAGAACAAGGAAGAAGAAAGAACAAGAAAGAAGGAAGAAAAAGAAAGAAGGAAGGAAGAGGAAGAAGAAAGAAGAAGGAAGAAGAAGACCCATGTAGTAAGATTCGTCTCAACAAAAAAAAATTAAAAATTAGTTGGGTGTGTTACAAAAAAATTTTTAAATTAGTTGGATGTGGTGGTGGTGCTTGTAGTCCCAGCCACTCAGGAGGCCCAGGTGGGAGGACAGTTTGAGCCCTGGAGTTGGAGGCTGAAGTGAGCTGTGATCATTGCACTCCAGCCTGGGCAACAGAGCAGGACTCTGTCTCAAAAAAAGGAAAGAAATATTATTCAGCAATGAAAAAGAATGAAAGCATATACACACTACAATGTGTCTGAACCTTGAAAACATTATGTGAAGTGAAAGAAGCCAGACACAAAAGGCCACATATTGTTATGATTCTATTTATAATGAAGTGTCTGGAACAGGCACATCTAAATAGACCAAAACATCCATTAGTGGTTGCCAAGGGCTAGGGTTGAAGAATGGCAGGGATGGAGGGATCCTGGAAAGGAGAGTGATAGTTAAGGAGTACTGGGTTTCTTTTTGAGGTGCTGAAAATGATGTAAAATTCAGCGTGGCACAGTGGCTCATGCCTGTAATTCCAGCACTTTGGGAGGCCGAGGTGGGCGGATCACCTGAGGTCAGGAGTTCAAGACCAGCCTGACCAACAAGGAGAAACCCATCTCTACTAAAAATACAAAGCTGGCCAGCCTGGTGGTGCATACCTGTAATCCCAGCTACTCTGGACGCTGAGGAAGGCAAATCACTTGAACCCGGGAGGTGGAGGTTGCAGTGAGCTGTGACCATGTCATTGCACTCCAGCCTGAGCAACAAGAGTGAAACTCTGACTCAAAAAAAAAAAAAAAAAGAAAAAAATGATCTAAAATCGATTTTGGTGATGGTTGCACACCCTGTGAATTATTAAAAAACCACTAAATTGTAGTTTAACTGTAGTTAAACCACTTTAAATGAGTGGATTATATCTCATTAAAATTATTTTTAAAATAACTGGCTGTGTCCTCATTTGATAAAGTTAGTGAGCTTGTATTTTTTTTTTTTTTGAGACAGAGTCTCACTCTGTCCCCCAGGCTGGAATGCAGTGGCGTGATCTCGGCTCACTGCAAGCTCCGCCTCCCGGGTTCACGCCATTCTCCTCCCTCAGCCTCTTGAGTAGCTGGGACTACAGGCGTCTGCCACCGCGCCTGGCTAATTTTTTATAGTTTTAGTAGAGACGGGGTTTCACCGTGGTCTCGATCTCCTGACCTTGTGATCCGCCTGCCTCGGCCTCCCAAAGTGCTGGGATTACAGGCGTGAGCCACCGTGCCCGGCAGTGAGCTTGTTTTTACTGTTGTTTTTGTTTTGGCTTACCTAGGGCCTTTGAGAACTTGACAAAGATTGCATATTTGTCAGTGCTGCTCCTGAAGAGCCCTTTGGCTCACACCTTTTCAAAGACTCATAAAGTGCTTTGTTAACTCTTGCAAAATCCAACTGAGGTAGAGTTCCCAGATTTAGCAATATAGACACAGAATACCCAATGACATTCGAATTTCAGATAAACCGCAAATACCCTTTTAGGAAAGTATGTCCCATGTAACTGGTTTTTTTTTTTTTTTTTTTTTTTTTGAGACAAAGTCTCGCTGTCACCCAGGCTGGAGTGCAGTGGTGCAATCTCGGCTCACTATAGCCTCTGCCTCCTGGGTTCATGCCATTCTCGTGCCTCAGCCTCCCGAGTAGCTGGGACTACAGGCGCCTGCCACCACACCCAGCTAATTTTTGTATTTTTAGTAGAGACTGGGTTTCACCGTGTTAGCCAGGATGGTCTCTATCTCCTGACCTCGTGATCCGCCTGCCTTGGCCTCCCAAAGTGCTGGGATTACAGGTGTGAGCCACTGCGCCCGGAAGGTGTATTAACTTCTAAAAGTACAGTGTAAATCCTCAAGGACTTTATAATCCAGGAGGTGATATACAGAAAACTTAGATCATTTACTAAACAAAGCATTTGGTGAAAAATAATACAGATCAAGTTTAATATCTATATGCTGATAAGTCGAAGGTAAGAGGGTACAAAACTTATGGTGGGCAGGGAAAGCTGTGCATCAGACTGATTAGAAGAGCAAACACAGCAAAGTGTTTTTTAAGTGGTTAGGGGAAGAATGTGCTCTCAGCGTCCTGGGTGTGTTCTATATGCGTGGTTCTCAATCTTTTTTTCCTATACCATCTTCCCAAAAGGAACCTCCAAGGCATGCAATTCCTTTAAAAAACACATGTATTTCTCTTCTCTTCACTCCCTCCCCAACACTCACAAACACATTTCATATACTCTCAGACACCCCACATAGAGGCACTGTTGGCCCATGTTACATCAAGCCTCTGTCACTGCTATGGAGTTTCTTGTAGTAACTTTCTAAGTAGCATGGCGCACACCCACTCCTAATGGGTCTGCATGCCTCTATGCTTTCATCAATCTGTCTCCCTCCTGGTCCCCTTACCGCTGGGCACAGGTGTCTAAACAGAGCCAAGATGATCGTGTTACTCCCTGGGCCACATGGGTCTGCTTGGGCTCATATCCCCTGGGGAACATCGCAGAGAAAGAATGCTCATTAAAATAGCTTGTTAGGCTCCAGCTGACTTTCCATTTTGTTTGACACTTTTTTTTTTTTTTTTTTTTTCAGATGGAATCTAGCTCTGTTGCCAGGCTGGAGTGCAGTGGCACGATCTTGGCTCACTGCAACCTCCAGCTCCCGGGTTCAAGCAATCCTCCTACCTCAGCCTCCCAAGTAGCTGGGATTACAGGCATGTGCCACCATGCCCAGGTAATTTTTATATTTTTAGTAGAGACAGGGTTTTACCATGTTGGCCAGGATGGTCTCAATCTCCTGACCTCAGGTGATCTGTCCACCTCGGCCTCCCAAAATGTTGGGATTATAGGCGTGAGCCACTGCACCTGGCCAGTTTGACACGTTTGAGTCTGAAAACTTTAAAACTGCCCAACCCTTTCCAAACATCCATTGGAAATGAAAAATGTCTGATGCAATTCTGGAAATTTTTGCTAGACCCATCTCCAATAAAATCTAGAAATAGCAATACTTTTTTTAAAAAAGCCTACCAAGAAAAAGACAAAGATAAGCCAGGTGTGGTGGCTCACGCCTGAAATCCCAGCACTTTGGGAGGCTGAGGCAGGCGGATCACGAAGTCAGGAGATCAAGACCATCCTGGCTAACACGGTGAAACCCCGTCTCTACTAAAAATACAAAAAATTAGCCGGGCATGGTGGCAGGTGCCTGTAGTCCCAGCTACTCGGGAGGCTGAGGCAGGAGAATGGCGTGAACCTGGGAGGCAGAACTTGCAGTGAGCCGAGATTGCACCACTGCACTCCAGCCTGGGCGACAGAGGGAGACTCCGTCTCAAAAAAAAAAAAAAGACAAAGATGGCCATGAAATCTACCGTGATAACTTCTAACCCATCTTACCACACATCCTAAACTTGGGGAAGAAGTTATCCTAGAGCCATCCTAGAAATGCCCATTCCTAACTTCTCTGTCTTTGGCTTGTCTTTTCAAAGAATTGATCATCCGTGGCTGAGTGATAAGAAGTTTTAAATGCAGCATGGTTTTACAGTGAATTTGAGGATAGTTCAAGTCCTGACACAGAGACTGAGAAAGGAAAGGAGAAAAACTATTCAAAGTGAAAAACAAACCACTAATTGAAGAAAGGTAGGGGGTGGCATGAGATTAAGTGAGGAGGGTAAGGGAACAAAAATTAACCTTATTATAGAAACCACAAACGAGGCGAGCAGTACAATATTCTACATTCAGGAATGCCATGGCTACGTTGATATGTAAATCTGGCACTTGAACAACAGAGTATTATTGCTGCTAATATGGTAATCCTCAGAGGTACAGAGAAAAAGTGGGTGGG